AGGAAAGCTATCAAACATTTTTATATGCTAAATTCAATGTAAAACAACTTATATTAGCATTTAAGATGGACTAACAAATTTATTTAAAAAAGTATTCTATTATATTACGCCTAATCAACAAAGAAATTATATTTATATAAAAACATAAACATCGCAAAAGAGAAAATAAATCGCTTAATAAATTTTTAAAAGTTTAGACGACTGTAGAAAATTCATACAAAATAATAATTCTATATCTATTAAACAAGAACATTGTTTACTAACAAATAAACAAAGCAATTAATGCAGCATTAAGCTTTAACTTTTTAAGTTATTCTATGGCCAGTCCATTACGCTATGAGATAAAAGTATTAAAAAGTGAAAAATATTATTTTTGTTAATTTGTAAGAATAGGCAACACTTTTCATTGACTTCCTCAATTTTTCATTTAAGATATAACAAAGTACACAAATATTTACCGTGACAATGGTTGCTCATTTAAATCTGTTAAAGATGATCGCTTTTGCAATTTTGAAGCGATGAAAAATCATATCGAAAAATGTGTTGTTGTTGCTTTGAATGTGGATATTGTGAAAGACTGATGATGATGAAACTGTTCAGAGATCTTTATGGATGCACTACATAATTGAGGGAATTTCAGACGATTGTTGTTATGTCGTTTAATGATTGTTCTGTTTTTTCTATTTTCATAGCATTCCGTTGATAGTAGTAGAATGGACAAGTCTGTACCATAAATAGAAAAGAGGTAACTGTTATATGGAAAGGTGGGAAACAATCAAAATCAATATAATAAAAATCTAATGCGATATTTAAGGACAATAACATATTAAAGGGTAGTATAAAAATTTGATTATGTGAATTTGAAAAACTAAAGATGTAGAATTGGGAAGAATGGCAATTGAAATGTCCAAAATTCATAGAATCCGAACTATAACTCGCACAATCAACCTTTAAAGGTATATATAAGATTTGATATGCTGATTAGATGTAGGTGATATTTTATCTACTTGACTGAGTAAAGCAGGTATAAAAGCGACTAATAAAGAAGATAAACCTGTCGACTAATCATCTAACAGTACCTACAAACACACAAAATTACTCAGGATAGATATTAATTGTTAAATGTGTTAAAAAAAATGATAAGATGTTATGGAGGGTAAACATATAAAAAAAATGCTAACAATATGACTAATCTATTTTAAATTTATGCACATATATAATCAAATAATTTTCATATTCGGACGAGCGATATACAAATTAATAGAAATACATATGTGTCTGTATCACATAATATATAGGACACATATTCTTAAAACTTATACTTAATTTGAGCATTCTAATGCATCTAGAAAGTGAAAAAATAGTAGAACAAGAAATTTTAGTAAGAGCCAAACTTTAGTCCAATTGTTTTTTAAAGAACTGGCAATATTACTTCATGATATATATAAGGTTAAATGTTAAATTTCATCCGTTCAACGAAAAATTTAGCATCGTTTTCTGCTTTTGTTTGCATATTCTATTTTTTTCCTTAGATTTTTCTTTTCTTCATGTCAAAGTGCCGTAAAAACAAATGAATTTGTTGCGAGAAGGTTGAAGAGTCTTTTGCAAAGTACAGTTGAATTTTTTACAGCTTTTCGCAACCCCCACTCATGTTGATTCGGATGCAAAAACAAAGTATATAGAATTCTGATACTGTAGGGTCGAAGTCCAGTATTTCTGTAAGCAAACCCACAACAGGCCTTGACTACAACAATTTTAGAAGAAAAGCTAATGTAAAAAAATGTAAAACATGAAACAGGACTACGACAATACATATCCAAAAATTTGAACTGACCTTGAGTAGGCAGGAGTTGAAAAATTGGGGTGAGAAACTGATTAGGTTTAGAAGTTGAAAGAAGAGTTTAAACAAAACCTAAGAATACAGAGATGTTGACAATAAAGAGGGCATATCCTGATGCTGCCTCTTTTTTCCTTCACTTTTTTTTTATCTTTTTACTGCAGTAGTATTTTAGTTCACTATATGTCCCAAAGACAATTATGTAAATGTATTTTTCAAAATAATAAACTAATTTAATAGGAAAACTTAATTTATTATTCCAATATTTTTTCCACTGATTGGAGAATGAGTTAGCCCATTGTTATTCATTTAGCAAGTTTGTAATCTTATACAATTTAACATTTTTACTAATATTTGTGAATATACCAATCGTTAGTATATTTATCATAGGAGAAGAACCAAATTAATCTCCCATGTTTAATTTTTAAAGGCGGTGTAGGTTTGAAATTGATCGTAAAAGTATGTTTGGATTTTTATGTTTATTTCCTTTTTCTTTCTTATTAACATATGCCAATATGTTCTAGTTAAATGTGATGTAATATCATAAAGAAATTCAAAGAATTGAGTTGTGTAGAAGAGTTTGAAATCGTCATAAAACATGCTGTCTTGGTTAAACGCTTTGGCACAATTTTTTAGTTGGCACTATTGGAATACAGAAACTGCATTTCATTGTCTTTCTCGGCCAGCCCAGAGGTGATCAGCTTTCTTTCTTCTATGTAGGAAACATCATATGTGTTGATCGCAATGCACAAACAGACGAAGATTTATGTGCAGACTATGTCTCGCAAACAGAAGTTATCTGTTACAAGAATTTCTGAATCACTGGTAGTTATGCAGGGGGCAATTATCTTTAGAGGGAGTTGTTGACGGGACCATAATATAGTTGTAAAGTTTGAAACCAACAAGTACAATTTCTAAGTAAGTAAATGATGAAACAAATATCAGAACCCAAAATAGTTTATTTCTGATTCTATGATAACAAAACACCTTTATTTTGTAAGGATAGCTATGTGAAAGGGAAGTACTGTCGCACAGTTCTGAAAAATGAGCATGTCAGAAATTTTATCAGCTCCACTGCATTACTTTTGGATCTTGATCAAAGTATGACTAACAGTTCAAGAGATTTTTAATTTTACCACTTGTTACTTTTTGTTTTCAGGTAAGACTAAATGTAAAGCATGTCATATGGGTTGGGAAAAATTCAAAGACATGACCTGAACAGGACTTATAAATGGTGTTGCATTCGGCCGCTTAAAGGAGATATCAAAGTAACTATCCAGTGGATGGTTAAAGAATATCATCTTTCAACTATTGTATAGTTATTAGTATGTGAAGACCATGTTCTTATGTAGTTACTCTGATTTTAGTTTAATAACAGTTGACCCTCTATATTTTGCTCAAACCTGCACAACGCGTATGTATCCATAATTTTGGTTCAGTTTAAGTTGACGATTAGTTGTTATTCAATGGGAATTTCTATAGAGTATCAACCCCGTCTTTAATTTCAAATTACACAACCCATTAAAATACTTGCAGTAACAGTTCCATAACTTTCATTTTTTTGTGCTGATGCCTTTGATTAACTTGAAGAGAACAATAATCTATCTATGTTAGAACACTAAATTTCTTGTCACTCAAGTCAGTGATTGGAAGATTCGTGGTAAGCTGTACATACAGTAATCTTTATTTACTTTCTGTTCCTCCAGTACACTAAACATGAATTTTATTTGATGCAGCTTTTATCGCCTGCTGTTTATTCCTCCTACAGGTGCAGACCACAAGTTTAAGCTGATGTTCACGATTAAGATCAATGTTGAGGAAATACATTGATCCACAGTTCTAAACATGTGTATCTTTCAATTGTTGACGATTGACGAAACTGTCAAATCCCCTAAGAATTTTGACAATATGACTATTCGATAATTAAATTTACCTAAGCAACTAATCAAATACTAATGCAGTACATCAATCTAATAAAGCTAATTCGCGAAACATGTTAAATCCTTAAGCTTTTCATGGGAAATTAGTTTTTTTTCTCTGTTGCTTTTATCCTTCTTATATCATTTGTTCTGTCCTAAATTGAAATTTAATAATGATGTGTATTACTTAATTGTTATAGATTTAAACGATCCTTTTTATCATGTTGTGTATTATATTGTACGGAAAGTGAGTGTGTCTACAACATACTTGATTGAGTTCATGAGCCAAGGATGTGTGAAATCACTTATGTCGGTTTGAATCTCAGTAATATGCAGTAATCTGTACACAGCTTATTCATAATTGTGGTTAACTATTATTGTTTGTGGACTTGATAAGACATGTCTATTTCAGGAAAGCAGAGTTTGTGCAAATACTTCGACGTCTAGCATTAGGTTCTCTGATGAAGCACAAAAGAGAAAGTTGTAGCGGCGATGCAAATAATTATGGATGATGGGAGTCGGTTTTTGCACTTTCTCAGCATTTTATGTTTAATAACATAGAATTTTTGGATGACATGAGCTGCACAACGCAGTAAGTGATCCATATTTTGGTTCAGTTTAAGTTGACAAAATTAGTTGTTTATCAGAACGTGGTTTACTTTTGACTTTAAAGCACAACAATATGGTTAGCAGATAGCAAAATATATAGTGGCAACGGCACCACATTCATTCGACATTAATTAGAATGAATTTCTTATGAGTAATAAAGGATAGGTGTGTGTGTTGTATTAGCGTCAGTCATTTCGCCAAATCACCATGGATCTAACGAGCAGCACATTTTCATTCGACATAAGTACAAATATATATATTTGCTAGCTACAGGCATTAGTTAAAAGCCAATCAGAGATTTCTGTGCTTTCTTTACGACTCTTGACCTTGTTTTGCTAGACATGTGAGATATTTGAAGTTCATTCATCTGTGCCTACTGTCTAGATGCCTTAATGTGGGATTTCTAGTCTTCTTTGTCATATGTCTTCAAAGGAGGGATATTGTTGTGCATTGCAAGCATCTCCATCATCTACCACGACGAGATGACTTGTTCTGATAGCTTTTCTCTATTGCGAGTTGCAAACAGACTTCAGCTGACTTTCGGCCATAAGATCCTTCGTGATAACACAAATACAATTAATAGCAGTTGGCAGAACAAGTAATAATGGCGGTAAAGTTTTTAAATTTTCATGAAATTACCCGAAAAGCTTATCTCCACTTGAGCTTGTACCATGCAAAAAACTATGGAATTCCTGTTAAAACAAAAATAAAAAAGAACGTTTCATTCTATAAGTGAAAAGTATTCTATACATTAATATTTATATGATGAGGGTTTTGTGCTGTTATAGAAAATTTTACAATTAGTATTGTCTCGAATAAAGTATGGCGTTATTCCTTTAGAAGGTCTCATTCATCATCAGATAGACTATAGAGAACTTTGTAGGACTGGTCACCTGTGACTCAATATTCTCTGCTTGCTTACAATATATACTTAAAACCAATGAATTATTATTTATTAAAGATATCGTCCATTTCACTTTGGTGATAAGACAGGTAGGCATCCGCTAAGTGAAGTATGCACCAAATTTTCAGTGAATTTAGCAAATATTTTTATGGTTGATCAAATTAACTTTAGTAGTATACCTCAAATAATCTTTCCTTAAGTTCTTTTGCGGACTTCCCTATAAGTTGCATAGCTTCGCGATTCCAAAGCAACAATGAGATAAAAGCGGTTCCATCCATAACACGAACTTGAAGCCTATACCTGCAACTCATTTTTTATTAACCTTATGCATATTTTTTATAGATATAACATTTTAAAATTTTCACTAAATAGTACTAACCTGTGAGTAACAGAAGATTCTTCTTCATTGCATTTGGCACAAAAGTATTTATTTCCAACTTTTTCCACCTTTCGACTACACTTGTTGCATGCCAAGTATGACCATCCCCGGTCAAGTTCCAAATTAACCAATTTTGCCGCAATCCAATAGCTGGATTCCTATTGAGTAAAAAAGAAATAATTATTCTAAATGCAAAACAGAAAACATAAGGTAAATATAATTGAGAAAGTAAATTAAACTCACTTGCATGCACTGAACTAAATCCCTAATAGTTTTAAACAGTGCAATTCCTTTGTCTAACTCATCTCTAACAGAGTAACTTTGCTGAGAACTTGTTCAAGTGATTCGTTCAATGTTTGATTGACGTGCTGCAAGTAATCTGCATAAGTCAAAAATTGTAATTTATAATACTATTGTTATATTTTCTGTACATATAGAAAAGGATTATACACTTGACAAACCTGGATTTAAAGTCAATAGACTGCGGCAACATAGAATTTATTTATATCTTTGTCTGATACCAACAGCTACGCACTGAGTAATTACCTGTGTGTCAAATGAATTATGAATAAAAATTTGAAATTTAAAATTTTTTATACAGTAAAATTAAAAAATACATGTAATTTATGGTAAACCTCGATATTTTTGAGGTTTCATATGCTGCAAAACAACAATCAAAGGCTCATTGGCAGATTCATTCAAGTGATGTTGAATTTGATCCACAAGTTCGCTCCATAATGTTGCCATAATCCTGTTCCTCCTATACGTTTCATGGTAAGGTTAATAAACACATATATAGGTAATCTATCAATAAAGTATTTTTTCTATTTTTGAAGTACTTACTGATCATCTTCGAGTACAACATTAATAAGGACACTTTGGTCGTCTCCCTGCTTGTAGGTCTTAACATCTTCATAGGTCACAACCTGACCAACAACATCTATAAATATAAAAGTTAGTGACATACTTTCACAAATAACATTTTTAACTTCATTTAAAATTTAAAAAAATATTACCGAGTAATTCTGTCTCATCGACATCATGTTGATTTGTTAGTTGGTCAAAAGGGCGCAAGTTAAACATGTTCATATGAAATGAAGGATCATTTGTTTCCTCAACAAATGTCTTTTGAGTAAATGTCAGCCTCAGGTTGTGTGTCGTAGTCCTCAACTTCAAATTATTTGGTCCGACTACAAAGTAGTTCATACGATATAAGCGAAGTTCATGTATCTTGTTCCTAAAAAACTTAAGAACATACTTTTCGATTGTAGCATGTATACGATCACCCTGCAAATTTAGATTCATTATTAGTACACAATTATGAAGCCAACAAATGTAAGCGCGTATATACTTTCATCACTGTGTAAACTTGTTAAAAGATGTAATGTCAAAAACCAGAATGCTACAGTTGTTGTATATCAATTATGAAGGCAAAATTAGCAGACACAAAGCTGAAAACTGCATATATAAACGTAGTTTCTATATGTTCATCCGATGATCGTGTAAGCAAGGCAAGCAATAGCTAATATTTGCCGAAGTTTCTTATTTTGAACAATTATTATGTACAAAGATGCAACTTAGCTGATTGTTAATATAAGGACAATCACTGTCTAAAGTTATACTCAACATTTGAAGTGAAAAACGAAATGACACAATGGATTCCAGATCAGTTAAAGATCTGTTGATATGGAAGTCGAAATTATTTAAGTAATGCGGAAGAAAGAATTTTCATATGGAATGCGACTACATTAGTAAGTTTAAAACTATGAGAAAGTTGAATATGTTACCTTAGAATCCTGTAAAACCAATTCAATTGAATACGATATTTGCAGGTTAAAGCGATCCGGCATTATCCACATTCGAACGACTCTAACTTTGAGATTCCATTGCATCGAGTTGGATGATATTTGTTTGATATCATGAATTTGTGTGGCCATACTTGCAAACTAATTGTAATCAGACTGTAGTAGATGAAATATGAAGTTGAAAAGGTTTTGAAAATATAAAGCACATAAATCATGGAGTTATAGATGTGTATATAAAATCGGGATTTTTGAGTTGGAAGACCACGTTTGAGAGCACGATCAGTCGTGGGATAATGGAGATTATTTTGCCTTTGAGATGCCGACTGTTTTGTTGGAATAACTGATATTATTCCTCCTTTTTAAAAAAACGTATGTATAAAAAAGTTAAAAAAAAGTACTTGCAAATTGTGGATGGTAGTTATGGAGTAAAAGACGGCAACTTAGAAAGTGGAGGAATCTTTTCCTTGATTTTAATAACAGCAACGTTAATTAAAGGGAAGAAAATTCTGGAAAGCAAAAATCGTGGGATGAATGGAAACCAATTTCGTGGGAGTATTGTTGGTTTTTTAGATTTGTAAAATTAACTGTACTGATTTTGCTGATTTGTAGGGAGGAATGTTTTCTTTGTTTTTAATAACAACCACGTTAATTAAGGGGAAGGAAAAATCGGAAAGCTAAAATCGTGGGGAATAGAAACGATAAGAGTATTGATGTTTTTTTAAATTTCTAAAATTAATTTTATTTTGCTGATTTTGCTGATTTGTAGGTAGAAGAAACAAACTCCAACTTTTTTGGAGAGTTGTCTTAATTTTTTACATGTGTTAGCATGATGGGTATTCCACTTGGCAGCCTAACATTGTTTTGCTTGTATTATTCTATATAGATAGATTTTCATGTGACTGTGTTTTTAGTTTACCATTTAACGAAATATCGTTGCTTAATATAAAAAAGTACAATACATATTTTTTTTGTGAGTAAACTTATTTACTCGTTACTCTCAAATAATCCTCTCAAACCCTATAGTTAAAATGGAACACTTTATAATTGACTGAACTCAAACCATATAATTTGAGAACTCCTCTAAGCAACTATGTTACAGTCTTGATTCTTGAGCAGCCATATTCGCCAGTTAGGCAAACATAACTTCTTTTTTCCGTCCCATTGTCCGATACTCATATTGAAGCTCCAATATATTTAGATTCATGTCGGAAAATTTCACATTGAAGGGGAGGGTAAACGCTTACTAACAAACACAACTTCACACTTAAGAAACTCGAACCCAATATTCTTATTAAGAATGAAGGAGTATTTATCACACTACCATAATCCTTTGTGAATCTAGGGTGTCTTCATACTTATGGATCCAGGGTCCATGTCGATTCTAAACGTTCAAACATGTAGTTATGGAGAAGCAAAAATGAACAATTATGAAAGCAAGAGTTTGGTGCACATTAATGTAATTATGGAACGAGATAATCCAAGGGTATTAGTACGAGTCTTGTACGAAGTAGGTGCGAGCTCTATTTTAAAAGGCAAAATTGAAACTCGCCCCGGTGCGGAGTACTCATAAAATGCCCCTGGGCTTATGTGTGCGTCTTAGTTCCGTAAGACTTACGCCTCGGCCATTGGGGCTTACGCCCCCAACACGTCCAACGCCCATCATACTGGGCTCGCCTAATAGAACTTTATGCAGTATGTAACTAACCTTGTAAATCCTCAAATTTGCTTAATAAATCGTTGACTTTTCAAAATTACTTTTTTCTTAATCATAAATTATTAAGTTGAGATTATTTTATGTCATAATTAAAATAAAAATTATTGCACGTTATCCACTAAGACTGCCATAATAGTTAATTTTATATAAATCTTTCATTTAAAAAGTATTTATTTATTAACTTTTGTTTGTCTTTATTATATAATAGTCCGTAATTTTTCATAATTATTTTCTTAATATTATTTTTTTCACGTTTACGAGATACCATACTTATTAATCGAATAGCTCAGTAGCTAGTAACTATTTACAAATAATTAGTTATCATGGTATTGTATGGTGAATTATGTATCACTTTATTAACTTGTTCAAACTTTCTCGTGGCGGGAACAGAACAATAGGGAAAGACCCACTTCACGGCAAAGAAAGAGAATGCGGGATAGAGGAATTGGTCAACTCATCAGGCTCATGTCCTTCCTGGCCTGTTGTTTGAGTTGATCGAAGGCGGCGGGTGGAGGGAACCAAAGACGTAAAAATAAATGATGCTAGAGAATCATATTTAAATTGTGAATTATGTTTTTATATAAATTCTCTTTCAGATAGAAAGCATATTAAATAATAGGAGTATTTTCAGAAAAATATCAAATTATAATATCGAAATTCTTTCAAGATTTATTACTCCTTAAGAGATACATATAAAATTATGTATCAAATACATTACTTTTGATGTTTGAGTTGTAACGATGTTGCAGCTAATTTGCGATATATGTCATACTTTTCATATTATTCATAGTTGAATTATAAATTATAAATATTTTAAATAGATTATTTATTATAATTTTATGATTTTGATATAATTTTTATAATTATTTTTTATTTTATACTATCTTAAAATTCTTGAAATTAGTAAAATTTAAAGATTCATAGGACTTACGCCCCGTGTCTCAGGTCTTACGCCTCGCCTCATGCCCCCGCCTATTAAAACATTGGGTGCGAGTTCGAACCCCATTACTCCTTTTTTTTCTTCAAAATAAAGCTTCTAAACCTTCTGGAGCATCTTGCTCTAGCTATGCTTATACTTTTTCCTGTTTTTACATGCTATGCTCACCCTTGAACAAATAAGGAGTACACCGTAAAAGGTTAAAGCGAGAAAAGTAGGAGCAATTTGCACCGATAGCCACCTTTAATGTTGCTATTTGTGGAGATCCCCTCCAGTGATATTTGGTCATGTACTGTTCTGAGCTACCGATACATGCCACGTGTACAATCAAATAATTCAAGACTGAGATACATTTGGTTATTAAACAACTAAAAGTGGCAAGACAATATTTAACAAAAATATAATAGAAAATTCAACACTAACGGCAACGTCAACTGCCATTTTTTTCTCTCTTAAAGCTACACATGGGGCCCACCAGGTGTATTTTTTCCATATGCTTTATTAGTAATAAAAAGTATCTAGAATAATTATAAGAACTATATTCGAATAATTGCTGACGGTAATAATAATATATATTTTAATACATTTTTTTATTAAATATTTTTTAACTTAATTTCTATTATTTGCATATGAACCTTTTTATTTGTACTTTTGCACATGCACGGATTTCTTATTCTCTTCCTCATCGTGTATATATTAATGAAGTATGTTTTTATTTTTTAATGTGCGCATTTATTAACATATAAATATTATGTAATAATTATGAAATTTAAACAACTCAAATAAATCTCATTAATCAAAAGCTTTTGTGTCACCATGAAATAAATGGCAGTTGTTTTTCAATGTGTTCTTTGTCAAAAAAATAAATAAATAATCGAAAAGATGAAAAGACCTATTCAAAAAATAAGAAATTATATTATAATACTCCCTCCGGTTCATAATAAGTGACCAGTTTACTTTTTCATTTTCGTCCAAAATAAGTGTCCAGTTATGTAATCAAGAAAAAATTCAATTTATTTTTACTCTTTTACCCTTATGTGCATATCCCTAAAAAGTTTTCTCACTCCTCATTATAAATATGTGACCAATATTTAATAAGGATAGTTTAGTCATACTAGGTATTTTTGTATAGGATTTAGTATTTTCTTAATGGGCATGCTAAAAGGAAATTGGTCACTTATTGTGAACCGGATGGACTAGTAAAGTAAATTCAAAACAACATATATATTTAGGTTTTACCATGATATCATGGGGGTGTCTATGTGCAGCTTCAAGAGTGAGAAAAATGGCATGGCAGGCCATATAAACGGCTGCCGTTAATATTAAATTTTCTTATTATTATTATTTTGTTAAATATTATCTTACCATGTTTAGTGGTTTAATAATCAAATGAATCTCAACCTTGAACTATTTGGGTGTACACATGGTACATATCTGCAACTGCATTGAACAATACTTGACCAAAAATCACTTGAGGGGATCTTCACCCATTTAGAACATAGTCATAATTTAAAAAATAGTAATCTGATATTCTGATATCTTATCCCACGACTGGATAAAGAGCATTGACAATATAAGGAGGCTGCGGTAATAAAAGAACTCAATAAATACATTAAACGAACTCAATAAATCTGACTACATATTTTTCTTTTCTTTCTTTTCTCACCTACTCAAGGACTCAGTTACACTTAAAAAAAAACACAGTATCACTTAGGAAAAAAAAACAATTATACTCCGAATCAGTCGCTCAAATGATGAAGAATCAGTTCACTGTCATCTTGAATGCCGAGGTTGGTGAGAAGCTCTGAATCACTACACTCTTTTCCACTGAAGATTAACCTCTGTTTATGAAATGGAATTCCCTCCTTTTCACAAATAATAGCCTTAACATCTCCAATTGTGTCGTCAGGGTCCACTATTACCTTAAATATAAACCCTGAAAACTTATATATCACAAATATTTGCGTTACTGATTTACATCTAACGACTAAAATACTGTCATTTCGAATCCCAATGTTGGCGAGCCGCTCGGAATCGCCATGTTCATTTCCACAGAATGTTAATTTCTGTCTATGAAATCGAATGCCATGCTTTTCTTGAATCACAGCCATAACATGTCCAATTGTATCATCAGGCCATACCATTATCTCAAGAACGCGTCCTGAAACAATGTTTCTAACAATAATTCGCGTTACAGGTGCATATCGAAGGATTAAAGTTGAACATTTCTTAATTCCCAGAGAAGTAAGAGAGTGTGAATCTCTCAGAGTTCGTCCCTCTTCATTCAACAACTTCTGTTTCTTAAAAGGAATCCCCTTTTCGTCTTGAATGTATGCTTTAACAGCGCCTATAGTGTCATCTGGTTCGACCATTAAAGGAAAAGAAAGGCTACAATCTTTAGTACCATTTAAACTGTCATCAGGTAGTCCAGCCTTTCATTGTTGGATTCAGTGACCGTGGATCTATATGACAGTAAAACACAGCATAAGCCTCTAGCAAAGTTAAGAAAAAATTAAGAAACAGAGAGATTTCAATTAATGGAAAACTAAGGTAGAAAATTTGACAAAACAGAGAGACTTAACTAATGGGATCACATGTTTAAGTCTGTTAGTAATAATAAATTTACGCTTTTAAACATCAATATAGTGAAGAAAATGAGAGCATACTCTGTTCTACATCCCTTTCAGTCTTTACTTTTGTGCTTTGATCACTTGATCTTCCTCTCTTAGCATCATTGTCGATCTTTACTTTTGTGGCTTGATCACTTGACCTCCGGCCTCTCTTCATATTCTTCCTTTCGGCCTCTTACAAATGGCTAAACCCCAAATACTACTCCTACCAACTTATAGAGGATATTGTTTACTATGGGAACGAGAGGCCAAAATTATTATAGAGACGATTCAAAATCCCATTGATTTTGGAATTGCCTTTTGAACTTCATTTTTACTTTAAGTATGAAATTTTGGCTATTCATCTCCACCTTCAAAGAAGAAATTCCCTCTTTGAACTCATCTCATGTTTTCTACTCACTAACCTATACTAATTCCTATTTATTTGTCACATTTTTTGTAAATATACGCTGCGGGGGCCCCAACACACACATACATTTTATGTTCAAAATTGGCAATATTGCCCGAAAAGTTCCAACAGTTTGCCAAACAAAGGCTAAGAAAAAAAGAACACAAGCATAATTGACATAATAACTACTGGATTTGAAAAAGCATAGGCCTCGCACAATTTTCCAAAAAAAAAAAAAAACTACTCGAAGAAAGGGTCGGGTCGAATAAAAAAGCGGAGTTTCAAATGCAAAATAGTATTGATAACATACTAAATGGTTTGCCTTTATATAGTAGATATCAATTATCAGGTGGCAACTCATTAGTCTAGATGATAAGAAGCCTGATTAACTAAAGAGTCAGGTTACGAGCCTATAACAAATGTCTTCATTTTTTGAATTTTACAAGTTTAGTCTGTTAGGACCGCAAAAAAATATGTGTCATGAGGAAAGCAAACCTTGAATAACGATAAATCGGACAATAAAAGAGAAATCTACCCACTGCCGGCTCAATGGTAAAGCAAGTAAGGCACTTGCTTTAGGCCTCCAAATTTAGGGGGCCCAATTTTTTAGCAATAATAAATTTATATATATAATTGAGTACTTTTAGTAGAATTTTTTCATATAAACAAAAAGATAATTTATTAAATTTGTTCACTAATTATTATGGGAAGTATGAATACTTATAAATTTTTACACTCTCTTTCTTATTTTTCCAAGTCACAATATTTCTTTCCCTTCTCTCACAAGATTATATAATTTCTCTTTAATTTCTTTCTCCAAGAGTATAAAAGTACAACATCTCAAAAGTTTTAGTGGTAAAAATTCGAGATCATTAGATGACGAGAACTGAAAAAGATGTTGTCTTAACCTTGAGTGCTCCTTAAAATATAATAATCACTCCGATATTGATGGTTTAGATTTATTTTTTAAATTAAAAATATTAAAGAAAATAGTACAAGTAAAAAAATAATACTCGAGTCAACACATTCAATCAAATAAAACCATTTGATTCTTTTTCAAATTAATTTACTTTTATAAATAATGTTTAACAGTTTATATAACAATTGCCTCAATATAATAGACATAAGGTTTTTAAAATTAAAATTAAGAAAATCTTATCTAGGATCAATAATTTTCAAGAAAGATTAAATGAATTAAATATACTGCCAGTCGAAAAAGAATGATTCACACTATATCTCAAAATTCTAGAACAATAGGTGGTTTTAAGGAAAAAATATGTTTTACTTTTCAAATTTAAGGACTCTAAATAAATTTTGACTTTAGGCATCTAAAATGCTTGAGCCGCCCCTGAATCTACCAAAAGAGACAAAAATATTTAAAGTTTTTCGGCCAATTGACCTACGTCCATGGCGGAGATGAGCAATCCACTATATAAAAGAGAGTATAAAATATCGAAAGAACAAACTCACGAAGAGGCAAACACAAACGACCACTAACACTTTTTCCGAAAAGTTCTCCCCCTAAACAAGACTCTTACTCCTTATGGCTATATTGTGGATGTTGTTGAATGTGAAGGAAGGAGCCTCAATTTATATATGTTCAAACTTTTTCCTCCAAGAAAAAGAACTAGCCAAATATGAGCGATTTTTAATTTTCTTCTAAGAAAAAAAAAATCAAGTTTGATAAACATGTTGCCCTTTCCTTCAAGAAAGAAAAACTCAATATAGTAAGAATAAGTATTTTACCCTTAGATAACAATTAAACTTATAAGTGGTTTTAAGGATATGTGATTTCACTTGGCACAAACTGGTAAATATGAGAATTAATGTTAGAAATTAATAGTACAATAAAACAAATCAACGTGATGAACAACTGTGGCCCTCGAACTAAATCACCCTCGAACCAACTGAATACGTTATTGAAAAGTATGAACTGAATAACAGAGCTTGTGAGAGAAAAAATATAATATATTGGCTTATTATGCGTGAATATATGATGTTACAAAATGATTAGGATCCTCTTTATATAGTAGAGGAATTCTATTTATGGTAAAATTCTAATTACAGAAGCAAATCCCATGATAGGCTAAATAACTAGTCCTGACTCGATATGTGCCGAGATTTCCGCCACGATCATCACCCGATCACGATATCTCGGCTTTCTGTTATTCGACTTAGCAGGCTTCCTCCGATCTCGCTCGATCTCTTTCTCGCTTTAGTCTCGATCACGGCTGGTCTCGATCTTGATCGACCATTGATCCACGAGCTTACCAATCCATCTCCGTATCATGGTTCGATATAACCGAGGCCGAGCCTTGATCTGCCACCCCGATTTCGGTTAGTCATACAAAATTAGGCAAGCCCGATTTTGACCGTATATAACCTAACAAAGTCCACTTAACAGATTTTTATACCATGATTATTTCTATTATATTTATTATTAATAAGTGGCAAAGGGTGTACGAACGAGGATACTCATGGAATTATAAGTTTTTAGAGGGGTAAAACAGGTAATTTTCCCTAATTATGTACTACTCTTTTGGTAAGCAGGAGTATGCATGTATGTTAATAATACCAAAGCCCGATACTTCTTTTGCCATTTTTCATTAAAAATCATGTTCTTGTAGTTTTGACATTTTAACTATATACTCCCTCCGATCCAAAATAAGTGATTTTTTGGATGTTTTCACACAGATTAAGAAATCCACCTTTTAGCATTAATTAGCAATGAAATTGACCATATTAACCTTTACTATTTCACATAAACACTCCTAACACATATTCCAACATTATTTACTCAAGGACAATGTAGGAAAAAAATAATTAATTCATTCTTGAAATCTGAAAAAATCACTTATTTTGGACCACAAGAAAAAAGCCAAAAAATCACTTATTTTGGACCGGAGGGAGTAGTAAGTGAGGTTTAGAGTATGGCTGTCCAACGGGACGGGACGAGACGGGACGGGACGAAATTAACGGGACGAGACGACATTTAAGCGGGACGGTGGCGGGAAGGGACGAAACGGGACGGGACAAACGGGACGAAACGGTCGTCCCATCCCGTCCCGCTAACAAATGGGATGGGACGGGACGGAACGGGACGGGACGGGACGGGACGGGTTCGTGGGCCTTAAGTGTATTTTTTTTAATTAGAACCAGATCCACTAGGAGTGCCAGAACTGATGGTAGGATCTATAATTTTTCCGGCTTCTATGTTAGCTTGTATCCATAAATCTTTGTGAGCACTTCTTAAGTGTCTAGTTAAACACCCCGTCCCACCACTTACTGAGTGTGCAAATTATTGCTTACATTTTTCACAGATAGCACGATGATTGACTTTATCATGTTTAAAAAATTTCCATACAAGTGATGTTTTGGGACGTTCAACCTTAGGCTTACCCCTTACAGGGGGTACAGGGGGTAAAGCTCCAGACTGAGATTGACTCTGAGTTGGAGCTTGTGTTGCGGGACTAGTGGGTGTTTCATCTAATTCTTCTTCCTCATTTTCTTCATCCTCAAAAAAAATATCATTGCCAAATTGTCTTTGTAAAGTTTCATGATCTAATTGTTCTCCGACATGAACATCATAAAATGTGGGGGTTTGAGAAAATGAAGTTTCATCAACATGAGTCATTTCATCAATATGCTTTCTAACTCTAGGGGGTCTAGGAGAAGGGTTAGGATTAGGATTACTACTACTTTCACCTTTACTACTTTTTTTAAAAATACCAAATATATTTTTAGGTGCCATAATTTAAATACGAAACTAAATTAAAAAAAGCTAACACAAATATTAAACACACAAATGAAATACGAAAATATAACACGTAAAGTAAACACAAAAATTAAGCACTAAAATGATACACAAAAATTATATATTAAAATTAGGAGATGGAACGAGTGCACCGTGATTAAATATTGAAACTTGAAGAAATTGCCCGAAATATTGCTCCAAATACTTGACGAATTAATTTGAAGCTTGAAAGTTGCTCCAAAAAATTTGCCCAAATACTTGAAAGTTGAAACTTGAAAGATATCACTTGATACTTGATAGTTGATACTTGATACTTGATATTAACAATATTGAGAGAATAATATAGAATATAGATAGAATATTAGAATGCAAGAGATTTGAGAGAGAAGATTGATTTTTTGTGGGAAAAAATGAAGAAGAATGGGGGGTATTTATAGTAGAAAATAGGGCCAAAGTGTAATTTAATAAACTTAGGGGTTATATTAAAAGTTTGGGGGAGGGGGTAGGGGTGTTTTGGGGGTGTAGGGGCTGTTTGGACCGTTGGCAACGGCTATTTTTGCCATTTAAGCCGTTGCCCAACGGATAGTTTTTTTAAAAAAAAAAAAAAAACTGGCGGGACGCGGGACGGGACGGGACGGGACGGGACGAAACGGGACGAAATGGCCGTCCCGTCCCATCCCGTGTCCCGTTTAACATTGGCCCATCCCATTTAACTTGAAGCGGGACGGGACGGGACGGGACCGGGACCCGGGACAGCCATAGTTTAGAGGTACGACGAAGGGTATTTATGGAATTACATCGTTTTTCGAGTCTACTGCTGTCACTTCTTAGCATTTGCTCCTGGTTTTGCCCTTTATTACTGTCGCTGCCCTTGAGATTTTAGTAAATTAAGGCAAGTTTGAGCCTTCTTCAGTAGATCACTCTCTTTCCTCTCCGAGCTTTCTATAGTATAGGTTCTGCAATCGTCTTTGCTCTTCCCAAAAGCTCCAAAAATCAGATGTTATCTCTCTGTCTAAAAGACTCCATTTGCAACCTAAAAAGTAGTATCAAATTTGACATGACGATAAAGTAATGAAGAAATCCAACGAAGACCTAGTTGACTTCTTACAAATGAGGTGAGTTTATGCTGCGTTTGTTTTCCTATTTTTTGGGTGTCCTTTTGTTGATTTTCTTTTCAATTGGTTAGATGTCTGTCAACGTTTGCTTCTTCCTTTGGTATTTGGATTGTAATCATGTTGCATGGATTGACTTTTCCACTTTTATTATTTTGCCGTCAGGAACAAAAATAATAATCACAGGTGAAGAACTTTGTTCTAGAATGTATTCCATTTTTGCAGAATCACTTTCCCTCTTCCTATCTATATGTATTCGTCCTAGCTTCTGCTAAAACTCATAGAAGCTGAGACGGGAATCAGCCATTAGAGCTCCTTGAGAGCTTCAGTGAAGGAGAAGAAGAAGAAGGCAAAGAAATGAAATGAAACCATCTACTGTTTCATTGATCTTCAAGACTATATATACAACTACTTAGACACACCTTGTATCTACCACTAACCACTAACAGTTAAATACAACTGTCATTTCTAATTGCCTAACAACTAACCTCTAACAACTACGTGCAACACATGTAAGATACACTGCACTTCCTCACTATTACATTGGCCTCTCAACACTCCCCCTCAAGCTGGAGGGTGTAAAATGTTAAGAACCCCCAGCTCGCTAAGCAAATGAACATGCTGAACTTGGCCTAAGCCCTTGGTCAAAAGATCTGCAAGCTATTCTGTAGTATGTACATACGAAGTCTTCACTAGCCCTGCCTTGATTTTGTCTCTAATGAAGTGACAGTCTATCTCTATATGTTTCGTTCTCTCATGAAAGATGAGATTGACTGCAATTTGCATAGCAGCTTTACTGTCACTAAACACAGTCATTGGACTATGTATGCTAACTCCTAGCTCCTTAAACAGTCCATGTAACCATTGTTTCTTTGATTTCCATGAAACCAAGGAGTCTCCAAACTTGACTATGTATCCTGTCACTGATCTTTTTAATTTGGACATGCTACCCAGTTAGAGTCACACCAACATGTCAACTCTTGTATGATTCCTGCCTTCAACCAAATGCCTTGTCCTAGTGAATTCTTCAAGTATCTTACCAACCTTGTTGCAGCTTCCCAGTGGGACTTCTTGGGCATCTGCATAAACTGACTCAAGGTCTGAACTACATAGCTAATGTCAGGCCTTGTGACAGTTACATATATCAGTCTCTCTATCAATCTTTGGTATAAATTGATGTCTTGTAGGGTTGCATATCCTGTTTTTTTGTCATTTTACCATACTCCACAATCTTTAGTTTCAAATTAGACTCTAAAGGTGTCTTGGCTGGTTTTGCTGTAGTTAGTCCTATATCTGAGATCAACTCTAGCACATACTTCTTTTGGTTGAGAATCACTACTGAGCTTGATCTTAGCACTTCAATGCCAAGAAAGTACTTTGATTCACCAAGGTCTTTCATTTTGAATTTCTGATTCAACATTGTCTTTGCCTTATTAATCAGCTCAATACTGTTCCCTGTGATGAGTAGATCATCAACATACACTAAAACAATCACTATGTCATTAAACTTATTCAGCGTGAACAATGAATAATCATGACTACTTTGGACAAATCCAGCATCCACCAATGCATCAGTTTGCTTTATGTTCCACTGTCTAGATACTTGCTTTAGTCCATATAAGGACTTGAGCAACTTGCACACCTTTGACTCCCCCTGTCTTCTGAATGCCTCAGGCATATCCATATACACTCTTCACATAGATCTCCTTGTAGGAAGGCATTGTATACATCCATTTTCCATAAGGTCCAGCCTCTAGACATTGCAAGTGCTATGACTGATCTTACTGTCACCATTTTAACAACTGGTGAAAAGGTATCATGATATCAAGGCCTTCCTTTTGACTGTAGCCTTTTGCTACAAGTCTGACCTTGAACATCTCAATTTCTCCATTTGCTTGGTACTTGATCTTGTACACCCATTTTGAGCCTACTGCATTTTTTTCCTTTTGGAAGGTCTACCACTTCCCATGTTCCATTCTCTTCTAATGCTTTGATCTCCTGCTTCATTGCCTCTATCCATCTGGTGTCTTGTGCAGCATCTCTATAGCACTTAGGCTCCATCAATGTAGAGAACTTTGCAAATGTTGGTTTAATGTTGTCATAGGACATATGGTTGGAAATGGGATATTTGCTGGTGCTTTGTTTGGTGGTTATATAGTCCTTCATCCAAACAGGCTGTTTGGAATCCCTTGAAGACTTCCCAGTGACTGGGGCATGTGCTTCAGCATGAACATCATCTAATGAAGCATGACCAGGATCAGTAAAAGATGTTGATGCCTGCTCATTGAAGTCATCTCCCCCTTCATGCTCCAAAGGCAGGTCAAATGAACTAGGATCAGAAGTAGAAGAGGTAGGTAAAGTTTCATTGTTACGGGAGGAGGCTGGTGAATTATGTGGTATGTCATGAGGTATATGTGGAGGATTTGGTGTAAATGAGGTAGTAGGATTCTGTGGTGAGTTCTGTGGTGTGTTATGAGGGATATTTGGCAGGGTGTGATATGTATTATGAGGTTGGTCAAGAGGTGAGGATTGATCTAGGTTGACAGTCTCATTTGTAAGTTGTTTCTTTGGGTATGCAGTAGCAAAGGGAAATTCATCTTCTCTGAAGATGATATCTCTGCTAACAAACAACTGATTTGTTTTGAGATCTAGGAGGAGGTAGCCTTTCTGCAACTCTGAATAACCCGTAAGAGCAGCCGGTCTTGCTCTTTCTTTAAACTTGTCTTCCTTAGAAACCGTAGTTGCAAAACATAGACACCCAAACACACGTAAATGATGTAGTGTTGCCTGCCTTTGGAACAGTAGCTCATAGGGACTTTTGTTCCTAATTGCAGCAGAGTGGAGCCTATCACAAGGTAGACTGCAGTCTTGATACACATACCCCAATATCTAATTGGCACTTTGGATTGAAATCTGAGTGCCTGACTATATTCAAGATGTGTCTATGCTTTCTTTTAACCACCCTATTTTGTTGGGGTGTGTGAACACAACTACTCTGATGAAGTATGCCTAAATCCTGAAGTAAAGTGTTGCACTGTGAGTTAAAAAACTCAGTGCCATTGTCTGTCCTAAGGACTTTAACCATGACACCAAACTGTGTTTTTACCATGGACAAGTAAGATTTAATAGCCACAATAGCTTTAGACTTAAGCTGCAACAGATGGATCCATGTATACCTACTGTAATCATCCACAACAGTAAAAAAATAATGCTTGTTGTCAAAGGTAGTTGCTTTATAAGGCCCCCAAAGATCCATATGTACAATGTCAAATGGTGCATCAGTTCTAGAATCACTATCGGGAAAAATCAACCTAGCCTGCTTTGCCAAAGGGCAAATCATGCACTTATTCAATTGTGGACTATTTACATGATCATGTAACAACTTCATAGATTTCATCACTGGTGCAGATGGATGTCCAAGTCTGTTATGCCATAAGTTGCTGTCCTCCTTTTGAATTGCTGCTGTTATTGGATGCTGTATACTCTGCTTACTAGTGTCTGCATCTTTGTATATGTACAAATCTCCTCTTTGCCTACCAATCCCCTTCACCCTGCCACTCCAAAGCTCCTGAAAGACATAGAAGCCAAGGAAAAAATTGATTGAGCATAATAGTTCTTTGGTCAATTTGGAGACTGATAGCAAGTTAAAGTTGAAATCAGAAACAACCAACACATTGCTCACAGTTGTGTTGCCAAACAAGGATGCACAGCTAGTATGAGTAATGTCTACCCCATCTCCTGTGGGTAAATGCACTTTACTATTACCAGATATTTATAGACTATGATCACTATTTGTCAAACTTTTCTTAGAAGCTACATAATGAGTAGCTCCGGAGTCAACTATCCCCTCATCATCACTTGACATACAAATTGCATTACCTGCTGCATTGATGTGGTTTGCCTCATTCCTCTGTTGTTCTCCAACATCATTGCTTAGCAAATTGAGGATCTGTTTATACTGTTCCTCAGTGAAATACTGAGCCTTGATTTTATGTGGTGGTTGCATATCACCATTTCCAGTCTACATTGTTGATAGCATTGAAAGGTTGCTTACCATAACCTATCTGCCCACCATGGTTAATTTGACCTCCTGATCCTCCAAGTCCGGGCTTTGAATTTCTCTTAGACTTGAAATCAGGAGGATAACCCACCAATTTGTAATAATTTTCTTTGTTGTGACCTTTCATGTTGCAGTAATCACACTGTAGAAAAACACTTAACCTCTTATCAGCAAGGTATGGTGAGGGGACCTGATTAGGCTCTTGACCCCTTGATTCCCGAGAAACTCGGTGATCTCGAAGTTTTCCGAAGCCTGGTCAGAGTACGACTGGTTAGGGGGGCATCGACCCCGATATCAAAAAGTCCACTCTCGGTCAAACTTCTCAAATCCTTCAAATTTCTAACTTTAGCAAAATGACTCCAGAATGACCTACGGACCTCCAAATTCACTTCTGGATGCGCTCCCAACACCAGAATCACCATACGGAGCTATTTCCAGACTCGTAATCCCAAATGGACATCGATAACACTGAAATGCACTAAAACCCAAATTTATGAAATTATTCCCAAAATGCTAACTTCCACAATAGGCGCCGAAACGCTCCCGGGTCATCCAAAGCCCGATCCGGACATACGTCCAAGTCCAAAATCATCATACGAACCTGCTGAAACCTTCAAATCCCGATTCTTATTAAATGAGAAAAAAGTAAAGGTCAACTTTCTGAAACCATTCTAAACTTATTGTTGAAAATTTCATACCTACTTTTTAAAGCTGCGACTTTGCTAACTCGTTTTATAGTAATTTTTTGGAGTCAGAATTTTTACTAAAGAAATTTAATATATATATATATATATAAATATTATTATAGTATATATATATTATATATATATATATAAAAGTAAACGCATAAAAAATTAAAGAGATTCAATATATAGTATATGTACATAAAAATGACATATTTACATGGTGTAACTTTGGAAATACCTTAAGTTGGAAACCAATTTAAGAGTACAACAACCATATTTTTTCTTTTTACAATCATATATTTGTTTACGTTTTCGTTGGGTAATACTCTTATATATATATTTTTTTTATTATGACATAAATTAACACTATAAAAGAAGAACTTTTTTTCTCATCTTTCTAGCATTTCTTTTCTACTACACATTTTTTAAAGTTTCGAGTCATGACATTAAAAAATGTTCATAAAAGAGAAATGAAGTAAACATGGCACGAAAAGTGGAACAATGTACATAAGGAAAGAAAACATTACCTCTCGAGATCTGATTCCTTTCTTGATTATTCCTCCATTATTATTATTCACAATGCAGAAAAGGTCTCTTACCTTTATAAGGCTGTCCACGAGTTAAATGCATAGCTAAAGGATCTGTATTAGTAGTAACTGCATTTAGACCAACTGAATGTTGACTCTCATCCTCGATTGTCATAGCATAGGCTTGGTTAAGTGTAGGACATGTCGATTTTAACAATATCTGTCTCCTAGCTTGGTCATACGAGTCATTTAGCCCACTCAGAAACTATAACAACCTCTATTGATGAAAATGTTCTACTGATTCTTTAGATTTTGCACAGTCACAACCAGGAGGAGGAACCATGGCATCATATTCAGCCCAAAGGTCCTTCAATTTGGTAAAATATACTGAAATAGAGTTCGTACCTTGTGAGTGATTGGCTATTAGTCGATGTACCTGAAAAATTCTCATGCGATTGACTTTGTCAAATCGCTCCTTGAGATCCTTCCACACGATGTATGAATCTGAAGCATACACGATTCCACTGAGTAGATCTTCAAAGACAGTGTTGATGATCCATGAAAGGACCGTCGCATTGCAAGTTTCCCACTGCTCGTGCAATTCATCTCAAATAGTTCCTTCTTACAGGTACCTAGCACGTACCCTAGCTTCCTCTTAGCTTGAAGAGAAATTCTCATAGATCTGCTCCATAAGCCATAATTTTCCGATCCGGTAAGCCTAATAGGAATGAGTACCGAACCAGGAGTATCATTCGCGTTCATGAACAAAGGATGCGTGTATGTGAGTTTTTCCAGTTTTTCCGCGTCCATAGCCGAAAATGAGCTCAAAGTATGTTGAGATCTACTGAGTTTTCTGAGTAATTAACTTGAAGAGAAGTAAAATACCAGAATCAGTTACTCTAATACCATGCTAAAATTCATAGAAGCTGAGACGGGAATCAGCCATTAGAGCTCCTTGAGAGCTTCAGTAAAGGAGAAGAAGAAGAAGGCAAAGAAATGAAATGAAATCGTCTACTGTCTCATTGATCTTCAAGACTATATATACAACTACTAACACACCTTGTATATACAACTAACTACTAACAATTACATACAGCTGTCATTTCTAATTACCTAACAACTAACCTCTAACAACCACCTGCAGCACATGTAAGATACACTGCACTTCCTCACTATTACATTGGCCTCTCAACAGCTTCTTATTTTTTTGTTTCTGAAATTTGTCAATTTTTGTTCGAGTTTTGTTCTAGCGCTGGTGTGTATATTTATGACTACAGGTAAGTCTTCCCGATCTAGGGGATTTTCCTCTTGCTCTTCGAATTCCATACAAATATTTGCTGCATTAGCTAACTGTAGACAGAATTTTCTGATGTTTATTCTAGATTTACCTGTGTCTTTAGCTCTTTGTTTTTTTACTGATTCTACTTATGCATGTTTTGTCTTGAATAACTGCTAGCAAATTTCTTGGTTTCGTCCAGATGGCCTCAAAGGATGTTTTTTGAGAGGCCGCAACGTCTTAGAGGTGTGAGCAGTCTACAATGAGGTATTATTCTAGAGATTTTTCCCTTTTGTCCTTCGTCCTCCATCACCGCTGGCTTCAGTAGAAAAAAATAATTTAAGGTAATTGTAGAATTTCTTAAGCTTTTGGCTCTTTTGGGAATTGATTTTGCGTATGCTGGTGTCATTGACTATTTGATGTCAATTTGGCAGCAATTAGTGGTACTAGAAGAAACTTAATGGGAATGGAAAAGGGCTATGTGAAGAAAACTCTTTAGTAATGCATTTATGTTCTGTCAATTGTTTGGTTGCCTTTTATCTTACTTGTCTTCGGCATTGGTAGTAAGATCAGCTCCAAAGATTCAAGATACCAGAGTGTGCTTCAATCATAAGGGCCTTGACCATTTACCTCACATCAGTGGAATTTATCAATCATCCTTTACCACAATGACGCTGCTGAAGCATAGCCTAAACGATATTCTTGTTTCCTAAGAAAGATTCAATTTGTATTGTCTACAATTCAGTTAGCCTGCACTATTAGATCAGTAGATCACGGTTGAAAAGGAACATATATATATATATATATATATATATATATATATATATATATATATATATAATGTTATTTAGATCGGTTTTCGCTCTTACATATTGAAGGTCATGGAGAAAGGATCTTGAAACTTCAGCAGCTTTGCCTGAGTTTGAAGCAATTCGCAAAGATGACAAAAGATAGTAAATAATCATGGATTCGATGAAGTCCTAAAATTTAATAAGGTAATTTTCTAAATATCGTGGTTATGAATTGGAGTTTCTCTGCTACACATATTTATTGGTTAAGATGTACTAAAAGATTTAATTTGGCTGTTTGCTTCCTTAAATTTAATGTTCAATCAGCTGAACCAGATAATGTTGGGTCTAACTCTCAATTTTATATATATTTTCATTTATGAAACACGGTAATTTTCAGAAACCACTATTTTTTAGAGGCTATTAACTACCTATAGCTACCATATACATAATTACTTCCTATAGTTACTATTCAGTTGTTAGGGTAGTGTATTCACTGTATTCGCGCTGTTGTGTTCATGAATACAACAGCAAAAAGCACCTAAAAATCAAGGTAATCCAGCTGTACGCGCATGTATTCACATGTATTCACGCCATGTACTCATGAATACAGGAGCAAAAAGCGCCTAAAATTAGGGAAGTCCAACTGTACGTGCATGTATTCACATGTATTCGCATTGTTGTATTCATGAATACAATAGTAAAAAATATCTAAAATTAGGGCAGTCCAATTGTATGGGCATGTATTCACATGTATTCGCCCCATGTATTCATGAATACAACATCAAAAAGCATCTAAAATTAGCGCAGTCCAGCTGTACGGGCATGTATTCGCGTTGTTGTATTCATGAATACAGCAGTAAAAATGCCTAAAATCAGGGCAGTCCAACTGTATGCGCATGTATTCACGTATTCACATGTATGTATTCATGAATACATTAACGACAATCACCTTGAAAATAGGTATCTCCAGTTGTCTAGGAGAGAGGAAAAACATAAATAACGTATTTCATGCCTCAATGATAGTATACACCATAAATACTTATTTTGCTATAAAATATAAAAGGCAGCTATAAAAATTAATATTTTAAAATAATTTTGATTTATAATAAATAGGGTGTATACCTTTTCCACGGGAGGTAATAGTTTCTTTAGTTTATTATTGCAATTGTTTTGCAAAAAGTATTTATGGTTACTTAATCGATATTATATTTTAAGATAAAACTTTTACTTGCAGGTTTATTCGGAATTAATCATTTGATTTCGTATTTAATTTGAGTTGGAATTATATAGAGATTTTTACATTCCTATGCCACATAGGAAACCTTATTACCCTCAATGTTTAAGGTTTAACTTAATTACACTTAGTATACCAAATTACCAATTCTATACCATAATTAATTAAGGGTATAATTAATTATATTTTTTTTACTCCTTAATTAAAGGAATCTGCACGTTTCTCCCTCCTAACCCCTCAGTCCCACCCACGTTTTATCCATACCCACGTTCTTTTTACCATTTTCCATCTTCTGAAACCAAATTCTCCCTCTAAATTCACAGAAAATGGAAGAAACCCTTCAACAAAGTTAGTTCCCCATTTTACTCCAGTTGAAGTTCATCAATGAAGAACAACAAAGTTCATCAAAATTGAAGTCAAATCTTCAAAGTTCATACACACATTTACCTTCAGCTTCAAATTTTCTCAATGAAGAAGAACAAACCTTCAAAGAGACAAGAGAGCATCAATTCCACCATTGACAGCCCATTAAAAAGCTTTGAAACTTTGAATTCAAATTTGGGTTTTCAAAAATCATTATTTATTTTGATTGGGTGTTGTTGAAAATAATTGGGAATATGTTTTGGAGTTTATATCTCAATTTTGAGAAGGTTTGGTGAAGATTAGACTTGGTTTTGACCGAAATTCAGATTGAAACTCGAAGAAGAAGAAGAAGAAGAAGAAGAAGAAGAAGAAGAAGAAGACATATAACAGAAATTGTAGATAAATTGTAGACTGTTTTTTGCAGAAGATTTTGTAGAAGTTTTAGTCGTTTTGGATTTGTGAAAACAGAAATTAATGCATCTACAATCAGAATACAAATAATCTACAATTTATCTACAAAATATCTACAAACTGGATACATTGAATTTTAATATCCCAATTCCCATTTCAATTGTAGCATAATTGGCATTTCGACATAATTGCGTTTTTTGCAGAAGATTTGTAGAAGTTTTAGTCGTTTTTGATTTGTGAAAACAGAAAATAAAGCACCTACAATTAGAATACAAATAATATACAATTTATCTACAAAATATCTACAAACTGGGTACATTGAATTTTTATATCCCAATTTCCATCCAATTGTAGCATAATTGTGATTTTTGACATAATTACGTTTTTTCAGAAGATTTGTAGAAGTTTTAGCCGTTTTTTATTTGTGGAAACAGAAAATAAAGCATCTACAATCAGAATACAAATAATCTACAATTTATCTACAATTTATCTACAATTTTTGCAATATGTCTTCTTCTTCTTCTTCTTCTTCGAGTTTCAATCTGAATTTCAGTCAAAACCAAGTCTAATCTTCACCAAAACTCCTCAAAATTGAGATATAAACTCCAAATCATATTCCCGATTATTTTCAACAATACCCAATCCAAACAAATAATGATTTTTGAAAACCCAAATTTGAATTCAAAGCTTTCAAGCTTTTTAATGGCTATCAATGGTGGAAAATATCTGGAAGAATATTTACTTCCATAATTGTAGCGCGCCTAAATAGGAATATCTGGAAGAATATGATTTGATCTGATTTACGCCAAATCTTTTTAGAATATTCTGTTCCTCAATTTTAGCTCGACAAATTAGGAAGATTTAGCTACTATTAATTAGTATTTAATGATTGGTATAATAACTGTAGAAAAAATGTGGACAGGGCGGGTAAATTAGAAACTATGCACATTTTTAATAATAAGGTTTCATATATGGTATAGGAAAGAAAAAATCAATATTCAACTATCACTATATAAACTCTAAATAGTTAAGTTATTGTACGCAAGTCTTGTTAGGAATTCTTTATTTAATGTAACCTTTTTCATTACCCGATGACTGAAGATGCAAGCTTCATTCTTATCTCTGGAGTGTTTGAGTTATTGCATTATTTTTCGAACAACTTTATCTTTCCCTAGCACTGTTACATACTACTGAAGTTGTGTTTTGTTAATCAAAGAATTTCTTTTACTGTCCCATTTGCCGCAAACTTGTTCATTAATTTATGTATTTAATCTATCTAATATGTCATTAATTTTTATGTTTTTTGGTCCAAAGGAAGTCTCTATGGAAACTCTTCTTTCCTTGTTTGGTTTTGAGACAAAACAATCGAGGAAACCACTCAATTAGATTTTATAAATTCAGTATATTGCATGAACGTAGCTTAGCCTAAATGTTATCCTTTATCATCTGTTTTTCATTATGTTGAGATGGTTAAAGTGACAGCTGGTGACAGTTGTGCAGATGAAGGCTTGAAGGGTGACAAAGTCAATTAGGTGACAGCTGTGTATAGTAGCAAGTTAGTTAATTAGTTAGTGTTAGAAGATAATTATATATATCCCACGTGTACAGTGATAAAGGCTAATTAACCATTGTATTCTCTTCTTCTTTTGCTCTGTAATTGAAGGTCACTTTATTCAATCTCAGCTTCAATCCTCCACCCTCTAATGGTGGATTTTATCAAGGTATCAGAGCTTGAGTGATTCGATCGAGGACAGAACAACTCTATTTCTAATTTTGTGAAGACAATACTGTAAGTTCATAGATTCTTCTTCTTGAGTTTCAGTTGAAGCTCAACAATGGCGAATTTAGATATTGATAACCCTAGGCATCCACTATTCCTGCAACTATCCGATAATCCTAGCAATGTGATAATTTCAATTCAGTTGAAAGGAACAGAAAATTACTCCGTCTGGAGTAAAGCTATATATGATGATTGCGTTGCGAGCAAAGAGGAAATTAGGGTTTATTGATGGAAGCTGTACACAGTCTCAGTTCACTGAAGATTTGGGCGAGGACTGGGAGAGAGTTAATGCAACAGTGTTGACATGGATCATGAACACCGTGTCTCCAGAACTGGTAAATGGCATTGTGTATGCTGAAAATGCTCAAGAAGTCTGGCTGGACCTTGAAGATCAATTCAACAAAGTCAATGGTTTTAGATCCTATAATCTGCAGCGAGAAATAGCCACAATCTCTCAAGGTACCTCTAGTATCTCTGTTTATCATTCTAGGTTGAAGTCGTTATGGGATGAATATGGTTCTCTTATACCCTCACTCCCAGTTATTGCTGGTACAAGAGACTTTATCGAACATTTAGAACAACAAAAGCTTTTTCAGTTCCTAATGGGATTAAATGAATCATATGGAGCAAGTAGAAGTCAAATTCTATTGCAATCTCCATCACCTTCAGCTAGTCGTGCATTTGCAATGTTAATAAATGAGGAGAATCAAAGGAAAGTCTGTGTCTAATTCTCAGATTAGCTTAGCAAATGTAATGAATGAATCTATAGTTTTCATGAGTACAAGAGGAAATCAGTCAAAGTTTAAAAGGCAAAATAATTTGTATTGTGAGTATTGCCACTTCAAAGGTCACTCAAAGGATACTTGTTACAAGTTACATGGATATCCACCTGGATACAAAGGAAAAAGACAGCAACAATACAAGCAGGCAAATGCAGCTCTG